CAGGCCCCCTAAGGACTAGCAAAGATGAAACAAGCACAAGAATTCCACTTGCCAAGGGAAAAAAGGTGACTGAACTGAGGATCGAATCGGGGATTCAGTCCTCAAGGAGTCCTTTCAAGAAAATTCCAGAGGCAAAACCTGGTCTTGCTGGATCATAAGGAGCCAGGTCAGACTCTTCTTGTTTCTTCTTGCTCCAGGAATTTTCTTGGTGGCACTCTCAGCAGGAGGAATGAATCCCAGATTAAGACAGTCTCCTGGCAGATGAGAAAACAGAGATACTTTCTAATCTCTGATCTTGATGAGTGCCTAGAAGCTGCATCTCCCAGTTTGTCTGAAAGAAATGCACTGTCATATCTGAGATTTTTAGTATGTGATTTATCTTATGAGGGCTTCTTACAGGCCTTTGAAGTAGCTGGAGGAGAGGGATTTGGTTCGTTTCTCATGTTCATGCCAAATCCCATGGTAAGTAGACGAACTTGAGGTTATGAGGTGATGCAGTATATGTATTATGGAACACAATAAATAATTGTCTGAACAGCTTCTGTTGCCTGTGGCTTTACAACTTGGGGTTGAATTTCCTTCTGTTCCCTGGCAGGTTCTGCCAACCTCCTCTTTTTCACACACACACACGCCACCTCCTGTAATCTTCAGTAATCTTTTTTTTTCCTGGAGGAGCAGTGCCATGCACTGCACCTGTGAATGACTGTGAGACTTACCTCCCTGCCAAGTTTGTTTAAAATTCACCCATGGGTTAGCAAGCACAGACAAATAAGTTCTGCCTTGTTACCTAGTCTTATTTCTTCAGGAAGTTGAACTTTATTAAAAAACCAAAAAGAAAACACAAGGTTGAAAAATCAAGCTCTAAGAAATTTAGAAATGCTTGGATTTAAGTTGCTCAAATGCTTGCCAGGATCTGATCTGAATTAGCACCATTTTTTCTTGCTGTTGGACACAGTGGGAGGAAGTGCATATAGATTTCATATGCTTCAGTTCCTTATCTGTGAAACAGCAAGGTATGCTCAGTCCTCTCTCGGAGGTTTCAGGATTAATATTTCAAGTATCATGGGATGTGGATACCTTTTGTGAATACATAGGTGTACAGAGATGGTAGCTTTTCCACGTGGATGAGCTAGGTCAGCCTGGAGTCCATAGGATTTGACTAGTTCCTGGAATGTATGTACTTTCTCCTATGTTGTTGATGAAGACACTAGCTAGCTGAGTTGCCAGCTTTTTCTGTACTCCGGTGTTGACACATTTTGTGCCTGTCGTCACTCACGCTAAACAAGAGCTTGAACACACTCAGATTTTCACTGCTGTTGTTCAGTCGGGTTTTAGTTTGCTGTTGACAACCAGTTGTAAGAATTTTCTTAATTTGTGCAAAGCGTTTGGCACTGTTCCACATGACATCCTTGTCTCTAAATTGGAGAGACATGGATTTGATGGGTGGACCACTCAGTGGATAAGGGATTGGCTGGATGGTCACACTCAAAAAGTTATGGTCAATGGCTCAATGTCCAAGTGGAGACCAGTGATAAGTGGCATTCCTTAGGAGTCTGTACTGGGACATGTGTTGTTTAATATCTTTGTTGGCGACATGGAGATGGAAGATGATCTGAGGGCTGGAACACCTGTCCCATGAAGACAGGCTGAGAGTTGGGGCTGTTCAGCCTGGAGAAGAGAAGGCGCGGGGCAGACCTTATAGCAGCCTTCCAATACTTGAAGGGGGCCTACAAGAAAGCTGGAGAAGGACTTTCTACAAGGGCATGTAGTGATAGGACAAGATGTAATGGCTTTAACCTGAAAGAGGGTAGATTTTTATTGGATGTAAGGAACAAATTCTTCACTGTGAGGGTGGTGAGACACCAGAACTGGTTGCCCAGAGTTGTGGATGCCCCATCCCTGGAAATGTTCAAGGACAGGTTAGATGGGGCTTGAAGCAACCTGGTCTTAGTGGAAGGTGTCCCTGCCCATGGCAGGGGCGTTGGAACTAAACGATCTTTAAGGTTCCTTCCAACCCAAACCACTGTATGATTCTAAGATTAATGTTGACTGAATAACCTGAATTTCTGGGTGTGTTCTAAGGAGGGAAAAAAAAAACAATCCAGAAACAGGTCTTCTGCATGGAAAACTTCACCTCCAGTGGGTCTTGAGCAGATCTAAGCACCTTCTCCTGGGAGGAAAGTAGTGGCAGACTTGCCTGTCAATGTGGCTGCCCAGTCTCTCATCTGACCCTCATGGTATTGTACTATGGGCTCTCTGCAGAGGCTGGAACCTTGCTATGGTGGAGCTGGGAACCACACTAAACAAACAGCTTTGTTTTCTCCGAAGGTTGCACAGGTCAGATAAAAAGCAGTGCTAGGTAGCATGAGTAAACTTCAGAGAAGATCTTTCTCTGTCTCTCCAGTATCAGATGCATCATTTACCCAGTGGTGAGAATGGGATGAGGTTTTCTAAAAGGTCACTTAGTGGAAAAAAAAATACCACTTGGTGCTTCTGTATAGAAGTCTATTCTTTAACTGAAACTTGCAGTTTACTATTTTTAAGAGCACTCCCATAGATAAAGAGACATGTTTTCAAACCTGGGCAGGCCTTAACCAAGCTTAGAACTTTAGTTTGTAGTTAGGAACAGCTGATTCACTGGCAGAAAAACACTGTGGTATTTTGCACATAAACCAATTGAGAACCAAGCCCAGGGCTGAGCATCAGGGTATTGGTACACCCCTGACTGATGTTGTAGTTGGACAAGTACTTTCTCAGAGGGCAGTGTTCGGTTTCAGCATCTCCGCTTCAAGCTGTCTCTTCAGTTTTGCTGCTGCAGTTGTTCCTGCTACTGTTTGGTCATCGGAGCTTAAAATGCCTTGGTAGGGTGGGGAGAAAGGAGGGGTTTTTTAACCTGAATCTGCTCTCCAGGCTGGTTCACTGCACAAGTCTACAAATAGCTAAACCAGTCTATCAGACAGGACAGCATACAAACAGGCGCTGGGTTCACTTAAGCCCACAATGCCACCAGGCAGCTCTTGCCAGGCTGTCCGGCGTGAGGTGTCAGTTGGCTGGCGTGTCCCCACTTGGGAGGCCGGTCTCGGGGCGGGGGTTTCCTTCTGCTGCGCTTATTTGGAGCTGTGCACACCGCCTGTAAATCGTGGAAGCACTGAAGGGGGAAAGAGCAGTTCAGCTTCAGCTTACTCTGAGATCCAAGTTTCCTTCACTTGGCTCCTTGGAAAGGGGGAAGGCATGGTCGTGGTTTTAAATTTCTATTATGCATTGTAGCAAAACCAATGGAGTACTTGGTACTTGGGAAACCATGCTGCCTGTGCAGACTTCTCGTGTTTTTTGAATAAATAGTTTGTTCCTGAACCTCTTGCAGCATGTAGTTTTTGTTTCAGCAAGGTATTTGCCTCGCAGCTCGGGAGCTGTGGCTGTAGCTGTTGCCTGCTTGGGGTGTGGGGCTCCGTTGGGTTTCATGGGGATTTTGCTCCAGGGAGCGTGCAGAAGCCAGGCTCTTGGTCTGGCAGCCGTGGTCTGCAGTTTGCTGGCTGACCACTAGCAGCGGACAACGTGTGCGGCGTGAATTGCTGAGGGCCCTCTGTACGCGTCTGGAGGGAGGAGTGCCGACTGTCTGAACTGCACTTGCAGGCTTCATGCTGCCCAGGCAAACACCTTTTTTATAGAAACATATTTTAAGCAAAGGTAGAAAGCAAAACAGCTCGCTTGAGAGCAAAGGCTAGAAGTCAGGACGCAGAGCCCTAATCAGACTCGAGGAGACTGTCGCATTTGGGGAAGGGGTCGAGGGGCTTTTGCCATCACTTTTGCATGCTGGAGTATGCAAGAGTATGCAATCACCCAGGCTCCAGCCAGCTTTCCTCCAGCCTCACCTGGGCATAGAGCAGGAGCCTAAGCTGTCCCGCTGATCCTCAGAACAGGGCTGCAAATGTGTTGTACAAATAAACTCATCAGCACTGCTCTCCAGTCTAATAAAATAAACTAAACCACTGTTCATATGTACTATGAAAAAGGTCAGAGGACAGTAACCCAAAATACTGCAGTGAAGAAGCAGCACTTTCTTGTAAGAGTGCTGCCATTTTAGTGGGGTAGCAGTGAGAATAAGCAGAATGAGCGCTAGTCGTGTGTTCAGTAGCTTGCGGAGTCCCCTTAGAGTGCTGTCAAAGTCGAATCATAGCACTCTGCCAGCTTCAGGGAGAATTTTTGGACTTGAACAATATGGGTGGAAGAAGGAGTCTTAAAACTAAGACATGGAAACCATTCACTAAGGGTTTGAAAAGCCAGTTCCTAGGGTTTTGCACACAGGCATGATCTTCCTGATGTTCTGACTCTGGCATGTTTGTAAATATATATGTGACAACATGATGCAGATTAGATAATAAAGCATGTGGCTCTCTATTAAGACCATGATTGCTGTCCTATTCCTTGTAGCGGTGAAGTCCTAGAAATACAGATGATTCCTAAACCTTGCCTAAAAACTGTCTTGATGTAGTTTGTTTGGACAAGACAGAACTGATCTGCTTGAGCAAGATTTTTGCTATTGCTGAAACTGTTTTGACAGCCATCCTGTACCTTCAATTACTTGTGAGTGATCTGGAGGAAAAAGGCATTTTTGCAGAATCTCAGCAAAAAAAAAACCAAATTCTGAGCTCCCATGAAATTCACCCCTGTTTATCAAGGTATTCTCAGTGTGTGTGAGAACAGGACTATGCTCTGGATTTAGAGCCAACTCAAAAACTGGATTGTGACAGGCTGGTTGTACCCTACTGATGTTTTGTGGGGTTTTCGTTTTGTTCTTTTTTTTTTTATTTTTTTTAACAGCAGCAGAGTTGAAAAGGTGGCATTTGTGCATCTTCAGTTTGCTGCTTTTATTACTTCAACTTCTATCAGATTGCAGAGACCTCTGTGCTTTCTTTT